AAGGATACAGAGAAAATTAATGCAGGGCTCTGGCACTGTGGAAAAAAGCCTTTCCCAGTGGTTAAATTGGGAGCAGGATAGGACCAGTGGCTTCGAAAATTAATGCAATGCTCTGGCACTATTGAAAAAAACCTTTCCCAGTGGTTAAATTAAGAGCAGGCTAGGACCACTGGCTTCTGTTCCTGCTCCTGAGACTTCCTTCCTTGTGTGAGTCCTTAGCCCCCTCCTGGTTTCACTGCTCCTTGGGTCATCATTTGCATCAGGACGCAAACAGCCACGCCGCTGCTCCCACATCCAAACACATCGCGCATTTGTGCAGGGGGACACGGGCTTCACATCCTCTGTGTTTGTTATTTTTTGCATCTTCTGCCAGAGTGGTAAAAGTGAGCTTGCTGGCCTTGCTTATTGAGCAGTGTAAATGATGGATTTAATCTGCTATAACACAGCTATCACCCCCAGAAAAATCACATACCTGTTTGTGAGTAATGGGAACCTTCTGATGTTTTTTTTTACTAAATAAAACGGAGCACAGTTGGCTAAGCAATCTTTGGAGGCTACTCTTTAAACATCAACAGCTCGTAGCATCCTCAGGCAGTGGAAGTTTATGAATCTCTCTTTGGAAGTTAATGCACTCATTAGTTTTAGGCTGAGGGAGCAGATGGCAGCAGCCTTGCCTTTCCTTGGACACAGGTGGCACAGTCTGCAGTGCCCTTCATTAAAGGCTTTGAGACTATTAAAGAAACTAGTAATTAATCTAAAGATCCATGTCAAAGGGTTTCTCTCCTTCCATGAGGTTTGGGGTTCCCACTGCACATAATACCACTATCAAGGAGCCAGCACAGCACAGAAGCTGAGAGAGAGAGGGAAGGAGGCAGGAGGAAAAAGAAAATTCAAATTTCTGGCTGATTTTCACAAGAACCGTGCAAAACATAAAAAAATGACATCTCAAAATAGGAAAGCTCACTTTGGGGTACAGCCTCAGGGCCGAAGTTCATCCCAGGCTGAGCCAGAGGCTTGCCAAGACTTGCAAAAATCTGGAGTAAATTTGGGCCCATGCAACATCATCCAAGGCCCGATTCCAAACGGAAAGTGGCAAATGTTAACCTGGCCTCAGTGCTGAGCAGACCTCTGGGGCTTCATAATATCCCTTCACAAGTACTGGAAGCAAGCCACTTCCCAGCCCCTATTGCTCAGCCACGTGGAATGGGAGATTTCAGCTAATTATCTGCAGGGCTATTTCCGTTTGCTTGCATTCAAAGCAAAAATCAGGAGATGCTCAGAGAAGTGCAGCTGGAGGAGAACTGAAGGAGAGTTACCTCTGTGACCTCGTGTAACCGGGCTGATTCCTGCTTTAACGCAGCACAGCAGAAACCAGCACCTCACCTGCACCTCATCGGGGCCTCATTCAAGCATTCATCTGAAGCCCACTACGAACAACAAATCTTGACCACTGATCGAGAAAACCCTCTGACATTATCTGGGGTTCTGATCCGAACTTGGCTGAGCTCATGCATGCCCCAGGATGTCTCAGAGCACGAGCTTTCAATAGCAGCCTGTCTCCCAAGGACAGCTCAAACCCTGCAGTGGTATCAGATCGCTGTGAGTGTCCATTGGGTCCGCAGATGGGGTAGGGACCCCTGGGGGATTATTCCTCCTCCTCCCACTCCAGGTCCCTCCTCACCTCTCACTCAGAGGACAGCCACTGTCTCTTAGACATGAGATGTCCAGAGAGGGACTGAACAAATGTGGTTAAGACTGAGGTTAACTGAGGATCAGTTCAGTGGTGTTAAGCCAAACTCCCTTCCCAGCTCAGTCTGGGGATGCCTGCAGAGTTAGACCAGCAGAAAATAGGGACTTTTTTACTGGTGTTTCTGTAACAGACTGCCCTATTGTATTGCAAACAATGAAGGGTGATGCAGAATGCCAAAAAGCATCTAACATGGCAGGCTGGCTCTTCATATCCTGGGAACCCAGCTGCAGCTGCACAAACTGATTGAAAAGATGTGATCCCAGGGTTTTTTTCCTATAAAAGGTCCATAAAGACGGTTACACTGTAGAGGTGGCTTATAGTTAAGCAGCAGGTCTGAAGCATCAGACACTTGCCACTGTCACCAGCTCAGCTACTTACTCCAGAGAGGAAGGCAAAGACCACAGAGCCCTGGTGCTGCCTTGGGCCAGGCCCTTAAAGAAACGCTGTTTCTCCATCTGTACAACAGGGATAATGACATACAAGTTTTGCAAAGTTATTCTCTGGCTAAACTAGCTAAATGATGTGATCTCTGTAAAAGTGTATGTACAAAGAAACCTCAACAGCCATTGAAAATCAGCCTTTAGGATTTAAAAACTCACCAAATTCCACTAGCAGTGTAAGTGTTACCACCACAGCCAAGGTTCTTTCCATCTCTGTGCCCAAATCCTGTAGCTCTAATAATCAAGGGAATGTTTAGTCTTCCAGCTGTAATATTTCTTGCCTTTTAGGATTCATCCCTGACAATAATTAAGTCTCATAAGGACAAAACTTAAATGAGCAGTAGCCTATGGGGACGGTATTAGTGTGCTAACTGTGTTTGTGGTTTAAATATTAATGTCAAAGTGTAATTACCATCCGCTAAGTTCCAGGCTAGTGTTTGAAAACACATTTAGCTAAGCAGGAAGAATGAGCTGTACCAGTTGGAAGCTTCTGTGCAGAAAGGATTACAACGTAGAGCCGGAACAATTTCTCAACCAGCAAAGAGCAGAGGGAGACATGCTTGGTGGGTGTTCTTCATGCAGCCCCAGTGTGCGGTGGCTTCCCGCTGCTGGCTGACTCCAGGCAGAAATCCCAACTTCTTCACACAGCACAGGGAGGCAATGCTACAATGCCTCATCCCAGTGGGGGTTGTGGGGGTTGTGTGTCTACCTTACAGTTGCAATGCAAACTACACCTGTGTCCCAGGGACAAAAAGCCTCATCAAATTGAACGCCGCTGTCATTTTCCCCCTGTAGCATCTCATTCCCTGGGATCTGGGCAAGGAGCCCATCGAGTTCGCAAGCTCCCTCTGGGTCTGAGGGAGGAGGCACATCAGGATTAGTTCACTTATCACATCTGGACTCCCTGCGCTGTGCGCTGCTGGAGCTCTCAGGGAACATTCAACATCTGGCAGACCTGAGCCTGTACAGGAAAAGTGTACAGAGCACGGGGATGGCAGGAGCAGAAAGGGGGGGATGCTGCATGCAAAGGAAGTTTTGGATGGGAGAGAAGGTTCCTGTACCTGCTAGGGGAAGGTTCCTTCACTTGCTAGAGGAAGGCTGTGCATGCAGCCGTCACAAATTGCGAGCCAGATACAGTGACACTTAACTCTCCCTCTAGGTCTCAAGCATGGAACAGGGAGAGGCTGTAATTCATTTCACTTCATCTCTGTTCATTTCAGACAAACAGAGCAGAAAAGTCAAGCCAGAGAAAGTGGAAAGAGGGCATGAAATGGAGCTGGCTTTGTAACGGTTCAGTTAGCCTGGCCGCTGGTTACAAGCATTAATAACACACAAGCTATTCCCACTACTCCCAAATCTTTGGGTGATATTAAAAGTGCACGTAGGAGAAAAAAATCAAGGAAGTTGAAAGCTAATGCAAACAAATTTTGTGTAGTGTTGCCCAGATTCATTCTTTTTTCAAACACATTGCTTCCCTGTCCCTCCAGGGCTGGGGTTCACACACAGAGATCTTCCCTCTCGGAGTAAGGCCAGAGCATCCCTGTCCAGGACCTCTTCCATTAGAAACTTGTGCCCTGGGTGTAGTGACCCCGACAGCTTCCCAGCTTTTTGCACAATAGATGAAGGATCAGAGATGATCCCTCTGATGCCGCCCTATGCCTCTGGGGACAGCAGAGGTCTGCACAGCCTTGCAGGCCTGTTGGACCACAGAGAAATCTTGCATTCAACATCTGTTGTAAATCCCAAGGAATCTAATGGGATTTGGCAATTTAATCCAGCCAGGGTTTACATGATCAAAAGAATTTCTTCCAGTCAGCAGCACTTACGATGAAAGCTAACCAAAACCTCAAAATATAGTCCCTCAGCAAGGCGAAGCCATTATTCTTTCTTCTTGAGTTTATGTCTTTATTTTTATCATCTCTCTGAGAGGAGGGTGAGGAGAGAAAGAAAAGTAAAGTTTCAGAGCACAGATAAATTCTGCCTGGCTCAGCTTCTGCCCTGAGACACAAATATCTCCAACCTCTCAGTGACACATTAGCCTTCAGAGAGATTGATCGATGGCTGGATTGCTGGGAAAGACTCATTGCCAGTGCCCTAATGACCAGAGAAACCTGCCAGAGGAACTGCAAAATTAATTCTGGCTCTAAATAATTAAGGGTTAGGTGAATATTTTCTTCCATTAACTATTTCTGCTGGTACCCTAGCAGCACATTCCTCCCCGCCTTTGATGTGGGGATCGCACCTCCAGCTGCTTTGGGATCTGGCCCCACGCTCCCAGTTCAGGCAGCCTGGTCCCCTGGGTCCGGGCTCTCTTCTGACAACGTCCAGGATCTCACACAAACCTAGTGTTTGTTTCAGGAGGAAAAGGAGTCATCCAAAAGAGAGAGCCACGTTTGGAAACTGAAGCCTTCTTCCCACCCTGCCTCTGTTTCCCCTACTTTAAAATGACTTCCTGCTCTTGGAGGATGCAGGCGACCTTTGCTGATCTATGCCAAGAGGCCACGGAGCAGGAATGTGAAATGCTCGGGTAGGTTTCCTGCCTGTCCCCAGTCTCTGGCCCTGTCAGATCCTCTGAGATGTGCCCTTACTGTTCTCTTTCACCAGGGGTCAGCTCCTGCAAGGTACTAAGCATTTCCTGCCTCCATCCTAATCCTGTCTGCAACTGCGCCGTGAGAATAATAAAGCAGTGATATAAATACACAGCAAAACCCATCCCTGCTGCAGTCACTGAGAGCTAAGAGCAGTTTATGGGTCTTAAAGGAAACTCGGTACAATACAGGATTAAGTCCTGTTTGCTTTTCTGTCTCTAATTTTCTCCCGTTCTTTTTTCAGCTCTGCTAGTCCCTCACTCCCTCTACAGGTTTATTCTGTAGCATCCCTTATGCTCAAACTGCACTCTTCCCAGTGGGAGGACAGTCCCAGATGAAACATCATAGTGCCAAGCAATGTGCACAGGGGTGTACATCATCTGTCTTTCCTTGGCAAGGAAAAATAGAGAACAGCATCAACAAAGCACTGGTGTCCCAACAACCTGCTCCAGAAGGTGCTGGGACCGGCAGTGCCTCACTTCCTGGCACACAGAGGAACAGGCATGCTTGGCAGGGAGATTTTTTTATTTTTTTTTAAATCTTGGTGCAGAACGAAATGGTTTAGTAAAGCAGAGGTGTAGATATGTCTTTTGAGTTAGTGTTTAGCACTGTGGTTTAACCAGCATCGTGGTTCACTGAGGAGAATGGAGGAGAGGAATATATCATGGATCCTCCAAACTGCCAGGACACACTCACTTGAGGTCATGCCAGAGCCTTTCCCGGGTTATCTGGGCATCCCCTGGTCTTCCATTCACATGTGAGAAGCCCAGCTCCAGTGATACCAAACCATGCTTCTGGTGAGATGCATAAGGCTTTTGGATTTCAATAGGAAACTGCTAATGGCATCTAACAGAGATCAGAACTTAGACCAACTCTCTCTGATTCTGGAAAACAATAAAAAAACAACATCAGTGCACCTTTAAAGCAAAATATTCCATAATAAGCAGGGCTTATTTCTCTTTCGATGAAGGTGACAATCCATCAGGATGTCATCTTCCCTGACAGCTGTCACCTCTTTGTGAGACTGACACATTTGGAGAGCTCAGTGTTTCCTCTGCTGCTCTCCCGTGCTCATGTCCTCGTCACCGCATTTAAAGCTTTCTGCCAGCTCTCATCCGCATTTGCTATTCACATCTATCCATCTAGGTCTTTGGACTTCACCCTGTAACGGGCCTTTTGCTGTCAGTATTCACCTGGGACTGATTGGCTAGGCAGATGAATTTTGAATGCAGCAGTCACTGGTACAGAGAAGGGAGGGTGGGAGCTGTGGGACAGGTTCTCTGATGAGCTGATTTGGAAGAACTCCATGCCCACCTGCATCACCTAATGCCCCACCACTGCCACTTTTTGTGGCCACTGTCACAAATTTACTGTTTCATCTCTCCTCTTGTCTGCCTGCCTCTTCCATCCAGCTGCAACCCTCTCTCCACACTTTAGCTTGTTCATTCCTTTTGCAGCTTCCCTCACGTCGAATACAAATGCTCTATTAGTGCTGTATCCCCACCAGGCAGTGGGTATCCCAGGCCCAGCACAAAAGATGTTGCCTCCAACACACATGATGGAGTTACCCCTGCATATACCAGGGCCGAACATCAAATCAGGAATTACAACCAGGGAAGAAGTGGCCACCATCTCTGAAAGGAAGGTCAGAGCATTTACCACTGAGCAGAGAAAGGAGATCCCCAAGCCCTGTACTAAAGAAAAGTGGGGAATCCTTAAGCCTGAACGAGGGAAGCTGCAGTGCAGGGCTGTGTCAGTTATTAAAGCAAAGAAGGCTCTTGACGTAAATCAGACAGATTTTGCTTTCTTTGATACCAGTACAAATCCAGGATAAATGCCATAATTTCACTGGGATTACTTCACATTCTTGCTGATGCAAATATTATTAAAATCTGGCTTCCTTACCACCAGGATGAGTACCCTGCAGCAGAACATACATTGTGCACCTGCTGCTGCTGGAGCTCCTAATTGGAAATAAGTTTATTGACCAAGATCAGGATGGCATTTTATCAAGTCTTTTTTCCTTGTTCTTTCTGTCTCTCCATCCCTCTCTCCAGATCTCATTTATAGCCAAGAGAAGGGGAAAAAAACAGCATCAGCAATTTCTGTGTGCAGTGAAATACAAACTCTTCTTCCCAAGCTTCCTTGTGAAGCAAACCCTGGCTAACTGGCTGCTTTCTCTCCTTCTCATGAGTGATGAACATCTTCCTGAGCAGTGCATCAGACAGAGATATGAACCCTTTGCTGCTGTTGGTGAGCTGGGCATCATTTTGGTGCTCCCGGAGCGTCATGGCTTGTGGCTGTGACAGACACTCACCGGCCTTCAGTGAGGGCTCTGGAGGGAGTCCAGATTTATCTTTGCACCGGAGCACTTTTCAGCTTCCCGTTAAACCACATCCATGTCCTGCATACTTCAGATAATTACTGCAAAAATCACTGAGAGCAAAATCCAGAATCCCAGGCCTTTTCCCAAGAATACAGACCTCTGCAGTTTAAGCTAAAGCAAAATTTCATGAGTTAACTGCCATAACAAATCTGGCAAGTCAAAGGGATTGTTAGGGACAGATGGATGGACAGAGCCACAGATACACACAAACTGCTTTTCAGGTTTCTGCACTCCTGAGCATCCCTATTTCTTTCACAGATGTATCAGAGGGAAGATCCTTAATTATCAGTTTCATATTATCACTATCATTATTATTTTCTCCTGTGTTAGAACATTTGACACTCCTTCCCACTCTGTGGGATTCCCTGATATAATCTGAGTACAAACAGCTACAGTTACAACATTAATTGCTATTTATGCTGCCAACACTGTGTAACTACATGGTCATTTGCAAGTTCCCTTAGATCAGTCATTAATGATATTTTACATTGTCAAGATATTACATTCATAATTGCTGCGCAATTCAGAACATTCATGTCCCCTGACAAAAGAGCAACCCAGAAAATTTGAACAGTCCTGCCTGTGCCTTGAAGTTATTCCAGTTGGATGCGTTCATGGTGGAATTCTGCATTCGCTTGTCCCATAAAAATGAGCACGAGCAACTGGTTAACCCTGTTACCTCCACCTGCAACCGGCATGTGCCTGCAGTGTGAAGATCTGAGCCAGCTTCCACCGAGCACCCGGAGGATCCGCAGCAATTTCAGATGTGCCAAGCACTTTCCAGGTGTCGTGCCGTGTGTATGGCTCACCTGTGCTTACGTCCATCCCATTGCCTTTTTCTGTAATTGCATCTCCCATCGCATCCCATCTGCTATTGTTATCCTAGAACAGCTAAATTAAAGATTCAAATACTCAGCTGACTGCGATTTAATATCAATCCAAGATTTCAGTTCAGACAGACCTGTTACCTTGCCCAAAGTCCTCTGGATGAACAGCACTTTCAGCAACCCACTAAGTTTACTTCTGTCTGGACTTTTAGGGAATAAAAAACTACACTTTACAAACTGTTGCAATGGTAAAAATGACAACAGATTATTTTCATGCCTCCCCCCTGCCACGGACAGAAGCATAGCACTTCAGCTCCTTGCCTACAATACATTTAGCTGCCAAGCTGTGTTTCACAGGATTATTTAATTACCTCCCTAATTGTGTCATGGGAACATCTTCTAAAGATGTGTCTTCAAGCTGCAGCAGTTGGGGTTGGCAGCATTGCATCTTCCCTGCCAGCTCCCCCCTGCCCTGCTCTCTCCGCATTTGTCTCATCTGTAGCAATAAATGAGCCCGGGCCGGTGCGCTCAGTCACTCTGTGCCTGGGACTGCCACCAGCTCCTCAGTGATAACGAGGATTCCAGATCCCCAGAGACACGGGGATGGCAAAACTTCGCTAGAACAAGGCAGAATCTGTTTTCTTTTGTTGCTTCGGACTCCGCTGCATTTTTGGATTAGGAAAATGTCTTCGGGGAGTCATTTCTCCATTTTTCAGGCCTGCAGTGAATTCATACAGTCACACCTGAGACTTGAATGCCATCGTCAGTAACCAAGAGACACGACTTAATACCTCAGAGAGCTCACTGCTGTGCAGGGAACCGCTCTGACTGCTGGCCACGGTTCTGAAAGAATAATAATTAAAAAAAAAAAGTACTTGCTACAGGACTGCAGACCTAAGGAAATCAAAATGCTATTGATCCCAGCCCATCCTGTTCTCATTACAATCTGCCCTGCTAGTGGCATCGGGAGTTTTGATGAAATCCATCATTACTAGTAGGGTAAATATTTCTTGCGGTGGCATAAATCAGCAGCTCTTGCTATGCCAATTTCTGCCAAGTGTGAATATAGACCACTCCGGTATTTGTTATGAGCAGAGAAACAGTATATGGGGCCAATACACAAAGCTCCAGTACGGCTGAGGCTTGCAGAACATTTGTTTAACAAATCAGCTACACCATGCAATCAGTGTCTATTTTTCCTCTCATAAATAGGCATGCACGAGGGGAAAAAACTGATTGTTAAATCTCATATACAGTGGGTTTTAACAAACCGCAGATTTAAGAAGAAAAATACAAGTACAAATAAAGCTTCCCAGCTGCTTGTGATTTTTTTCCTTCCGGTTGAATAAATAATCTCCTTTGGCTAATTCAGTAAATACAAAATTTTGTAGAAATGGCAACTCAACAAAGAAGCCCAGTGCTTTCAGAAGGAGGAATTCCCCACGAAACAGCTTATAGATGAGAGAATATGCTTATGGATGGCACGTATGTAGGAAACAGTGAATTAAATATTCTCTCAGTTCGTCTAGATATGAGAAGCAACAAAAAAATAATGAAATAATGAAATAAAGAAAGAAATATTTCATTAATAGACTAAATGAAGAGACAAGAGCATGGTAGAGGGAATGGTTTCCAGATGCTTCCCCCTGGAGTCCTAAATAAAAGATAAACAAACTGCAGGACATTACCCAATCATCTCCACAGCAGTCCAAGTTTTAAAGCAGGTCTGCATGCTACAGATTTACTAAAGAGAATTGAATAAAATACCAGAAATACCTTGGAGGGGGCATTAACATAAGAGAGGAAAGGAAAAGGCAGGATGATGCTGTGTTTTTGCACCCAGGGAAATAAACACACACGGAGACATTGCGTGGTTTGAAGCCACAGAGCCGAGCTGGTGGCAATGCTGGCAGCTGCTGCATTCACCATTAAACCTCAGTGCCTTCAGTTTCCACCTCTATTTCTTGTGTTTCTTAGAAACATCAAGCTTAAAGCCATTGCCAGGCTGGGTTATGAATCAAAAAGGATGTGGCAGTACGTACTTTTTCAAGCCATCTTCTTGTATGGTAGGTGCTATCGGTTTAACATCCCTCCATGGTCTTTATTAGCAAACAAAACGTGAAGCACTTCCCCGGCTCCATGCGAGTCCTTGCGAAGGAGGAGAGCGGCAGCGTAAGATAGATGTGTCAGCTGGGAGGTCTTGGAGATTGGCTGTAAGAATTTTAAGGAGCTAATTTCAAGAAAACAGTAATCAAGGGAAGATGAAGGGGTGGGAGAAGCTCATAAAAAGAAGCAAGCTGCTTCTCTCAGCTGAAGGAACGGGGCTGATATGGTTCTCTGAGGGTCCCAGATTGGCTGCACCAATTCTATAAACTTTGGATATTGTAGCAAGGCAGCTACAGGAAGCTGCATTTCTAGAGATTATGATTAGCTCCAGATTAAGTACTCACATAAATCCTGTCAGCTGCAAAATGGTTTGTTTGTTTTAAAAGAAAATGATGTAACCAAGAAAATCCAATCTTTCCATTTCTCCTTTTTTTATTTATTTTTTCAGTGACAACATTTTAACAATGAAGCTGAGTTTTACGGTGAGTGTAACAGGCCAAAGCGAGTAAATTCTTCTAACATTAAAGCTGTAAAGGGATCAAACTATCCCCAAAGACCTGCTTTTTCATTACAGCAAAATCCAGCGAGCCTTTTGTACCTCCATCATTTTGGGATAGCAGAGCACTCACACAACACCTGGCACTCACGTGAGCTCTCAGAAGATTCGTCTCACAGCAAAGTTCGTTTGTGTTACAGCTCCAGCACACTCGTTAATCTGACTGCACAGGCACAAAGTCCCATTGTTTCTGTATTGTGGTGTCAATAGCTCAAACCAATTAACAGAAAACGAGCACAGCTCATCCTAAATCACAGAATCACAGAAGGGCTTGGGTTGGAAGGGACCTTAAAGAGCACCTGGTTCCAATCCTCCCACTAGTCCAGGTTGCCCAAAGCCCTACCCAACCTGGCCTTGAACACTTCCAGCATCCACAGCTCCTCCGAGCAAAGTATTTATTTCATTCCAGCAGCAAATTCTAACTGACAATTACAGCCATTGACTGTAAGGTGCCATGCAAGGTGCCTAAAGCCCATGTATCCACTGCATTGATCCAAGTGGAGACTGGAAGGTAGACGAAGGCTGCTGAAGAAGGCACCTGTTACAGCATTCAAAGGAGGAGGCTGGGGAGACCATGCACATAGCTCCTAACCATCCTCTGCCAACCACTTGGCCTTTTCCTTCTCGTTCCTCCTTTTGCAGAGCTCCAGAATTTCACAGACATTGGTTAGAAAAAATACATACAGGATATAAAGCAAGAAAGTGCAGCTGCAGAGGTTAAACCTGTCACAACTGTGACGTGAAACGGTGCTGGATTTACAAAGGGAAAAGGCTTTACAGACAAACAGCAAGTTCTCTCTGTTAGACTAAAACCACAGCTGATTTCCTGACAGTCTGTTTGAAGCAAATGGTGATGATGGCAAAAGGAGGCTTTAGGCTTCCCCTCGAATGCAGGCAAAGTTCTGCTGTTTGGAAATGTAGATGAAGGCCTTTAGTTTTCCTTGTGACATGGAAGTTAATAAGAGCAGATAAGGACTGCAGAATGCAAATTCCTCAAGGGGGAAGAATCACTTATCTCCGCGAATGCATTCTGCTTGGCACCCTCTGGCAATGGAGATTTTTGGAGCAGAGCCAGCTGATCAGGGGAATAGCAATGAAGGGAAAGCCTTGCTCTTCCACATAACGGCTGTGATCACTGGCCCAAGGTTTGCTGAGAGTCTTGGGGCAGAGAAATTGGCAGTGTCAGTTAGGTTTCATTCTCAGAACTACAGAAAACCACAGAAAGAGATGTGTCCATAATCCCAGAACTGTCCCTTCTGAAAGCACTTTTAGAGTTTGTATTCAAAAGACACTTGTGACAGGGTCCTACACTGCTCTACCTCTACCTCTGAATTACTGCAGCTCAGCACTGGAATGCTTGGGTGCAAATACTGACACAGCAGCTCCACTGCCCTCAGAAAACGAAAATGTTGATTGATGGTGGGGTACAGCCAGCCCGTATCCAGCCCATCCGCTCCTGGCATGTCACCCATGATGCATACTTTCTTCTCCTGGTCCAACAGAAATGTTCAAGGGACGTTTACATCCCCAAAATCAGACCCTGTAGGGTGCTAAGGAGCCCTGAAGAGTATGTGTGTGCCTCTCTGCTGGCAGGTGGCTGCAGCGGCACCTGGTCAAAGGCTATTCACACACACACCCCCATACATAAATGCTCTCTGACAATCAGACTGAGTCGCCAGTTGCTGACTTAACTGTATCAACATCCCGAGGTTGAATTAGCCACATGCTGGCACTGTAATTCTAATTGTTTTCAAATACACATTGTAATAAAAGGCTAATTAGCACACATCTCTAAATGGGAGCTGACGGAAACGTAGGATTATTTTGCGTTGGTGACACAAGCAATGAAGGATCGCACACATTCACCTGCTACCCCTGGGACACCTTTCCTTGCACCGTGTTTTGTTGGTTTTGCGGCAGAGGCTTTAAACAAACACAGGAAAACAAGAAGGAAAAAGCAAGCTGACAAACTGCATGAGATATAATATGTAGATCAGAGTCCTGGGAATGGAATCCAGCAGAAAACATTTAAATAACACATGGCTACAGAGCTCTGAATCAAATCTGAGACACATGTGCTAACAAGATCATGGACATGCCCACCAGTATGGCTGCGTATCTGCAGCTCAAAGCAGGTTGCAGAGAAGCACGCAAGTCTTGCTTGTGTTGCACAGAAAGGTCCACACTCATGTGGACCCACAAATGTGCACCTAAACCTGCATACAGTAGTCAAAAACATGCAGCTGCCCTAAATGCCAGCACACCCCCTCACCCAAATGCCTGTGCCATAATGCAGGGAAAGGCTGAAATGGCAGTGAGGCTGCCAGCACCAGCCTTCCCCCAGCACAAGGAGTGCTGCCCCAGGGAAGGCAGCACATCAGCATGCTGAGGGCTGCCTGAGCTGAGGATGTGCTGCTCCTCCTTCCAGTCCTACCCTGCACAAGGCACAGCAAGCCCATGAACTATTGAGCTTGTGTGGTGACCTCTACAGCTTGCAGCAGCCACTGCATACATTATTAATGCCACCGTCTGTGCCAAGGACTGACCCTGCTTCCAGCCAGGGTCAAGGTCCTTTAATTATGCACTGTGAATTAGCCCAAACTGGGTGAACACAGAAATGGAATAATTTGCCGTTGGGTGAATGATCAAGTGCCCTGAAGACGAAGCAACTTGAGGAAACATGAGCATATAAAATCCTCCTCGTGCACAGCCCATGAATAAATGGGGAAGCGCTCGCCAGCGCAGCCATCTCCATTTCACCCTGGAATGTGATCCATTTTCCTAAAGGCAAACACAGCAGAAGCACGGTGCAGGAAGGGAAGCATGGCCCCTTCCCATACCTACCTGCCACTCCACGGGCACGTTTGTCTGAGCCGAAGAAATCTATGTAAACAGAAGGGAGCCAATTAGCAGCTGATGCAAACGGTTCAGTGGAAAGTTATTATTTAAAAGCTAGTTAAGATAATTAGGGGGCAGTTTAATTAAAACATCATCTTAAACACAAAATGAATGCAGTAGCTTTCAAGCCCAGCAGGATGCACAGCTAGTACTTTCCCTTGGGAAGTTGTTAATTAGTGCTTGTAGTGACTGCAAATAATAAATAAAAATAAAAATATTCCCACAAGCCTTAGAAATATTAGGAGCGTGGTTCCTTTCTGTCCAATGCACGCCCCCTGCTCAATCCCTAGGGCATGCCCAAAGAGCTTGAAGCAGAGCATCCGCAGGATATTGCAGAAGATTAGAAGCTGTAGGAACTCAGGCAAAGTTTTTGAAGGCCTTTGTTTGCAGTTAGTCTAACTGGCGCTGACAGCAGGGAGAACACCACTGGCATGCCCAAAACCCACACCCCCCAGCTGGTCACGCTGCAGGTTCCTGGGCTTTGCAGTTCGTCAGTTCTCACACAAGGACCTCTGTCACGAGAAGGTTGTTTATGATCAGGAATTGAAAGAAGCCTTGTTTATCCTCACTCCGCAGTCAGAAGAGGTATAGCCTTGGAAAAGTCATTCTCAGGTACAGAGCTGCGGAGTCCTTGTTGCTTCACCAAGAGGGATACAGAAACCTATGCAGAATTCAACCCCATCCCTAATTCTGTCTCCACAAGTGGATGAGCCAAACTTTATTCCTCTTAGAGAGTTTTGCAAAGCTCTTGCTGCAGCACTTGCAAAGGATCTGACTCTGAGATCAGCAACCCTGGTGTTGACCAGGAGCACCTCTCGCTTTCTCACTCTGCTCGCTGGTGCAGACAACAACTCTGAGTGATGCTGCTAGACAAATGGTGGGAAGGGGACACAGCCGCGGCATTGTGGAGGACGTGCAGATGACTCATCCGTTTAAACAGCTAAAAGCAGATTTCTCCAGCAGCTACAGAAGGAGATGATCCAATTCACGCAGAAGATAATTGCCAGGGCTCTCAACAGAAGGCAAGGGCTCTGCAGCAGAAGAGATGGTGCTCACACGAGACCATGAAAGGCCTTGAGGAACACAAGTGCCGATGTTTTCTCAACCAAACACAGCTGAGCTCTGTTATCTAATTCACAAGCTATAGATTCTGTGTTTCCCAAGGGGAGGGGATTGCATTAATTACTTATGAATCAATTGATCTGCTGCTATTTCAGGAACATCTACCTCATGGCTCTGTAATGGAGATGATTCCCAAACAGCAGCTCCCTTACTTAACACAAGTCACCCCTGAAGAAGAGCAGGGCAAGGGCCTGCAGCGCAGGGCACTTTCAGGATGCAGGGCACACTCATACAAAGTACTGACCGTATCTATTCCTCACCTTGTTCTTGCACCCCAATCTATATCAGCAGTTGTGAATTGTCACCACTGGGAGTGAGACTGTTATACCCATCTTACTCTGGCAGAAATGAGGACAGCAGGTAAAAAGCACTAATGAAATGGGCCAGGGGCTGCTCCCCTGGGGGGATAAATTCCAGAGTGATATCGTCTAAATGACAGGGAAGGAAGGTCATCTCTCCCTCTCTTTCTGTTCACATACAAGGAAAAATACACCCACTTCAGGTATGGCCAGAAGAAGGGATGCAGACCTCCAGAGAGCAACCAACACACATTAAAGAAGACCTCAGGGATCTCGTACAGAGTTGTTGGCAGACAGCTGCAGGACTGGGGAAGGCAAATACATGCTTTATAACCTTTTTGCAGCCCTGGACTGTTCTAATATTTTTGGGCAGACCCTGCATTTGCCCCCTTGTATTTGACATGGGCAATAGTTTTCTATTTTGAAACGCATAACCCAGTTGGTTTTCCATCAGAGATCCCTGTGGCTTCCTCCCAGTTTCATCTTCCATATGACCTGAAAGTGCATTAAAGTGTTGAGATTAACATTTCTTTAAAAAAAAATATGTAAACAAGATACTTGGCATGCACTAGATGACACTGCTCATTAATGAACCTGGACCGCTATGGCAGGGTGTAAAATCACTCCTAGGGTTCTGTTTAGACCCTCCCAAAAGCCACAGTTCAATCCGGGCAGTTGCTACACTTCCTATAAATATGGAATGTCTTATAGAAGACAAAAGCATGTTTTTTTTTTCTCATTTATCACCCTAAACCAGATCCACAGCAAGCAAGTCTGCACGTGTAAAAGATCAATGGCATATTGCCAGTTTATATCCACCACAGCCCAAGCCCAAAGTATCTGGTGGATGCTGACTCTGTGTGCTCTGTGTAGGAAGCACACACAGATTTCTTTCTGAGCCATCACAATAGAAACTGTCCCTGTATGTGACCCTTTCCATCGCTGCACAGTAATCAAAACCTCAGCCTACAAAGAGCTGTCCCTGCTCTATTGAAGCCAGTCATAAACTCATATTCAGCCCCTTCGGGTTGGGAATCTGGCCTAAAACAGCATGAGGAACCAACGAATATCTGAGATGTACTTTGGGACTACCCCACCTTGCACCTGCTAGAAGATGAACCATCAATTAATTAAAAGCGGTCTGGATATGGCCTAGAGACCCTGGTCTGAAAATTGAAGGCAGAAGTTTACATTTTCCTCGTCACTTCTTCTCCTCTCGAAGATGTTTAAGGATTTTTGTCAGTTTATGAATGTACCTCCCTGCTCTGAGACAAGTTCAGAGACAATTTAGTTTTCCAGAAGCCTTCTTTTGTAGACACGTGTAAGACAACAGGAATCCCACTCATCAAAGTCTTTCTGCTACTCTGTGTATCCGAAACACAATTACCTACCAGCATACCATTCCTGCCTTCAGCTTCTCTCCTAACTAATTAAATTCTTTGTCAGTCATCAATTCTCTCAGCATAAGAAGGGTCAAAAGGTGACCTGTGCTCGCGGCAGATTTGGGGGGGCGGGAGAGGAATCCATTTATAGGTAAGAATTTGCCCACGATGGTCTACATTTGCAGGGGATGCTTTCCAGTCACTTTGTTGCTAATAACAATCTGTCAACATTTATCAAATTTGTGTCTAATCATCTCATCTGCAGTGTCTTTTATTTTAGCAAAACATCAAACTAGAGGATATTAAAGAAAACATCTAGTCTTGCACAGCTCTATTCAGCAAAAGATATTGAGGCTTTTTATGCAGAAAGTGTATATCATTATAGCTGTTTTACAAACAGGAAAATGAAAGCACAGAGAGATTAAATGACTTGCTGGAGGTAGCAGAGCAGATCACTGGCTGAGCCAGAAACAAACTCAAGTGCCTCGAGTGCTGCTCCACTGCCCTGGATGACACCAAGGAAGGGCCAGCTCATTCAGCACTGAACACAACCACTTCTCAGCTGAAGCTTCATTGTGAGAACCGCATACCAACGGTACACGGCAATTCAGGACAACTGCCACCTAGACACTCCCTCTGATTTGTGTCATCCATCTCTAATTCCCACCCCACAGTACTCAGTTGGTAAACACCTGAATTCAGATTCCATCAGGACAATAACATCATCCGATCACCAGCCGAGCCTGTTTGACTAAGTGCCTGGCGTTTCTGCTTCGCTCTCATCCACTCCTCACGGCTTCCAGCAACACACCAGCCCCCAGCCAGGAACCGCAGCCATCTGCCCCTGTGCCCAGTGAGCAGCCGTGTTCAGAAAGTCCAGGATGGAGCAGCAGGCAGGGAGCAGCTGCAGGAAAGGAGAGCAGAGAGGCAGGGCAAGCAGCCACCAGGCGTGCAGCAGCTGCGGCTTCAGCCTAGGATGTGCTGCAGCTGAGCACCAGCCTGGCACTGAGAGGTAGCAAAGCACTGGGATGGGGACAAGGACACAGCCCGACAGTAGCCAAGGGTTAGGGCAAAGACAGAAGCTTCAGGGCTGGTGGCAAGGAGGGAAAAGAAAGGGCTGGCCTTGATCTCTGCGTTGTCTGAAGTGCCCCTATAGGGAAACATCAGGATTAGAGGGTTAATAAAAGCGCCGTGCCTTGTGGCCTACAGCTGCTGACTGAATTGATCCAGCTCTGCCCATAGTGACTTGCTGCGCAAGCACAAGGCATGCATGAAACATTGGTTCAACGCTGCCCTCGAAGGCAGCATGCCAATTACTGCACCTAGTGCCAGCCCCAGCAGCAGCTCTTGTACAAGGGGAGCAGTGGCTGAGGGGACTCGGAGGAACTCATCACCGAGATCTAAACGAATCCGAATTACATTTGCATTTCATTTAGATTTAATAAGATAGTTATTGTTTGTTAATTTTGTGCCAATTGATTACCGCAGCAACATATTTATTGAAGAGGAATAATTCAGCTGAAGATGCATATCCGACTCATCTCAATTGAATTAAGCAGATTCAAAGCGATGTAGTGTCGTGGAGCACACATCCTCCAGCCTGATGCATGCACTTTGCAAAAACTGCTACATGCTGGAAGAAGATTGCTACACTCTGGTCCACAACAATCTGTGCCCAAGAGGAAGCACAAGCCACAAAGGACTCATGTGTAAGACACTGGAAGTCTACGTGTGAGCCCACAAGTGCTGAAAGCCACAGAGCTATGTTCTGTGAGGGCTCCACGCAGTGCGAGTAGGGCAACTTCTGCCAAGAAGAGATGCACACACAAACACAAACATGCAAACATACAAACAGGTGGAAAAGTACACAGAAAGTCACTTCCAAACCTGGAAGCTGAAATCATGAGAGCCACTGTTGCCATCCAATCCATGTTTTCAGTAAAAAGCAAGTTCTCACGTCTGCAAGACTCCACAGAGAGCTGAAAAAGTGGGAGGTCTGGCAAAGGTCACCCCTACGGAAGGTGAAGCAGAGGCAGACAATTCGCAGCTTGCATGCCAGCTCTGAAAAGGAGATCTGGGGTATGTGGGGATGGGGGAAAATTAAATCCCATTTGATGGATATGAGAAACTAAATGATCCTCTTCATGATGGTCTTCGCACACAAGCAGCTGCAAATCAGAGGATTGCTCCAGCCGGGAAATGTCAATTGTATGGAAATGTCATCTTCATTGCAGAGCTCTCCTGGGGCTGCTGGAAGCTGCAATTCAATTGCATTAATTTCCATCCCTCTCTCCCCATCTCCCTTTCTCTTTTAGTTTTCAATCTTTTAACCTTTATAAAAAAAAATAAAAACCGAGCATATTTTCTGCATTCAGTAACATTTTGTATCTATAATTGTGCAGAAAGGTTAAAGAGTTTAAATTAGAAAGGTTGCTCCAGGATCATTGTGCAGCTGGATTCACGCGTTGCCTTCAGTTTAGAAAGTTAAAGATAGCACTGAAGAGCTTCCCATGCCGGGGCTGAAGCCTCCAGCATTTCAGTAAATGCTCAGTCCTTATTTTTCAAATAGCCCAAAGGCTCCCACATCTCAGGAGATTTTCAACAGGGAAATTTGTAAGTTGAATTCAAACTGAAGAACAGATCAAGAGGAAGAAAATATGGAAAACGTACACAGCTGAAGGCATTCCCCAACAGGAGGCCACTGCACTCAGAGGGGAGTCTCCAGACCAGGGGAACTGCCAGTCGGGAGCTCACGGCACCTCCAAAGCACCCAGGCATCAGGCAGTTAGAGTTCACACTTCCCACTTTGGGCATTCTCCACTTTCTTTGCCCCTATCCCAGGTAAACCTTACCTCGCTTCATAGGAAAATAGAGTAATGTATGCCGCCGTGTTGCACTGCAGGAGGAACAACAAAGTGCACGGTGGGGACAAGCAGAAGGCTGGTCAGGAGAGAGGGATTACGTGCATTACAATTGATTTTCCACTGTTAATGAACCATGAAGTGCTTGTGATTGCATCTTGAAGAGATTTATAATTATTCATTGAATCTCAGAAGATAATTAAACTTCATTAAACACAGACATGACAAGCTTGCACAGTAAGAATAAGCCCTGGAGCAGGTTTCTGATAGAAGAGGGAGATACGGTGTTGGGAGATGATAAAGAGAAGCGGGGGAAATAAGAGGGTTCTTCACTAAAAACAATTTTGTCCAAATGAGAAACTGCTGCCCTCAATGTATTTTTTCTCCTGTTTTTCCATCGTTTTTAAGGGAACTTTGCTTTCTCTTTGACACCTCGTAATCACACCATGGCTTCTGCCTGACATTAAGGGTGCTTATAAAATCCACTTACCTATTCTGCACCAGTTGCTGTGTGAAAATGCTCTACAGCTTTAGAGGCAGTGGGCACTGGTCTTTCTGCATGTTTACCAAAGTGGCTGCGATGTAAAAACCCAGATTATGGAAGGAGCTAGGGAGAAGCAAGCGGAGGAGGTAGCAGGGATGGCAGTTCTTCACATGGACCAGAATTCCCAAATAGTTCATCATGTGAGATAGAAAGGGAGCGTGTGGCTCTTCCAATAAGGCCAGCCTTAGCTTGGGACCCTGTGAGAATTTAGACCATACAGTCCATATTCCAGAGCTTTATTAGGATATAATGACTCACATACTACAGGCTACTTGATACAATCAGTACTAGTTTAAATGATGTCCTAGTTAGATAGAAAGTGTTTGACTAGAGATAAGCAGAATCTAAGAGTATCTCAGAAAAGAAAATTATTCATCAAAGAAGGAAGCCGCTGGAGAAGGAAAAATCTAACAATAGTGTGCACAGCTGACAATCAAAGGAATCTTGTCCAGTCAGCAGCAGTAACTGAAGCCATTAACCAAGGGTAGCATTTGTTCAAAATGTTATTGTTGTGCTATTGGGAGCTGTCAGTGATCACCATGCCCCACCAGGTGAAAATCTGCATCCTCAAATGCAGTGAGAGAAGCCACTTACTGCAGTACTCTGTCTTCTGCTCTTTCTAAGCCAAAAACCCCTGCTGCCTTGGCTTAGGGTGATCTCTCTGCCTTTTGCTACGCTGAATCTCCAGTCCCCTGTATAACATCATCTGCCCGATCTGCCAGGGGTTGTGCAGCATCAGGCTCAGCCAAACACCCGACTGCTGGGGCACCACCACTACTGCAGAGCCCAGAGGTACGTGCTCACAAAGCAAGCAGGAGGCTATCTGTAGGGGAAGTCAGCCTGGAGAACAGGACGGAAATCTCAAAGTTGCCCAGTACGCTCTCTGTTCCTCTCAGAGGGCTCTCTTTTCATTACTTCCCTCCTAAAACTGAACATCAAGAGTTTTCAGCCCCGAGGCAGTCTGATTTTATTAAGAACTGGGAATGTTGACATGATATAAGAAAGACCCAGAGAAGATGCTTCTCCCACCAGGCTGACATAACTTTGCTGAGCACACATGCTCTGCAGAGCACAGTGCACAGGGGATGAGACAATGCAGTTTGTGCTATATTTCTGGCAGGAACATCTCTTTCCCATGC